CAAGATTTAAACATCCTTTATATTTAAATTCCTGTTTCACCCTACTCACTGGCTTGTGACCAGTGGGTGTTTTATTTCATGTTTACATTTGTCTTCCCCTTTTACATGTCATGTAGCAGCAGTAGATTTATTTATTAATATTATTTATTAAACTGTTACTCTTGAAGAGGCTTGTACTGTTCCATAAGAGATATTATTGAAAATGAATAAATATCAATACCTAATTTTTGTTCATCAGGTCACTGTTGCAATCGTCTTCTGTCCTATGTTTACAAAGGTACTGTTTATGAAAAGCTTTATGTGAAAATGTATTTCTGCACTGCAAGACTTCTGCAGCTCCAGAGTGTCCTAGAGTTGCTCTCTCCACCTACTCTAATCTCGTGGTAGCAGAATGTGTGATTTAGAAAAAAAGCTTGGGCTGTTCCATTTTTCATAAGCAGAAATGCACTTAAAATCCTGTATGGATTTTTTTTAGTACACAGAAGAGGAAGGCCAGAGCTCAGCCACATTGCTACCTATAGCCTATCACACATCTGTGTCACAGCTTGAGAATACATGACACTGCAACCAAAGATTTTCATATGAATTATTTAAGACTTTTAAGAATCACTTGTTTTCTGAACTTTCTAACTTTGGGGATTTCTTCTCTGTTGGCCCAAGTGAATGATGCATGTTTTTCTGTGTGTTTAACTTTATGTGCATCTGAATGATGGCATCTTTATGAATCTACACACCCTTTTGAACCTTATATATAGACCGCTGTGCCTTCCATCAATTAGTAATCAAAGCATTCATCTTTAATTAAACTCCCTATCTTTCCCACACACTCCCTCTCTCATGAGCATCTTACTCACACACAAAAACAATATGTTATGGTACACATTAGACATTAAAGTGCATACACTTGGAGAGATACACAAATGCACAAATAAATGAATGTTATAGTCCTTCCTGTTGACAGAGAGAAAACTGCGTTATCTTCGCTCTGATTCCTTCACATTCAGAGGAAAAAGACAAGCATATAATGTATTATTTGCCTCTGCACAGCTGTACTCTAACCCCATTCATTCATGAAAACAGTCACCGTTAAAATATGAACATGGTATTCAGACAGTTTCGGAGTGGCAAAATATGATGATTATATTCCTAGGACTTTTCCTGAGTAGCTACATTACACAGACTGGTACACACACAAATCCAGTCAGTCTTTTGAGGGATATGGAAAATGCTATTTTTTTTTTGTCTACAACAAAAACATAAAATACAAATTTTGTAAAACCAGACATGCAAACACATCTTCAATTTTAATCATAATTTTGTTTTTAACTGTTGTCAATATTATATGGTTTTATGGTACCTTAAGAAGGACTTTTTGTAATAACAATCATTCAATTAAAGCCGCACGCGGCGATGGTGGCCCTCGCCCCGGCGCGCAGTTGCTCCCCAGGGGACAGCCGGGGACTCGCGACCGCCCCGACACGCCACTCACTCTTCCCGACATCCGCTCAGGCCGACAGCTCATGCATTAGACACATTATATAATGCACCTTTAAATATTTTTAGGAGTCATTGCGCCCCTGCTGGCCAACAGTGGAAAATGCACCATGTCCGTTATTTATTTTTTTGCTCATAGTCATGCATAGAACTTATTCCCTGAATTTGGTACAAATCCAATAATGTTGACATGTCATGTCTATGGTAGGGGGCGCTATGGAGTTCACATTTCATATGTTTTATAGTGTATTATATTCAGGCTGGGATCAGGCATTAGTGATTCAAATTTCAGCACGATCAGACTAAGCCTGTGGGTGTTTTAAAATATTTTTTGGGGGAGTCTTTGCGCCCCTGCTGGCCAATGGTGGAAAATGCACCATGTCTGTAATACACTTTTTTGCTTGTAATCATGCATAGAATTTAATCCCCGAATTTGGTCTAAATCCGATATTGTTGACGTTTCATGTCTACGCTAGGGGGCGCTATAGAGTTCACTTTTCATATGTTTTATAGTATATTATATTCAGGCTGAGATCAGGCATTAGTGATTCAAATTTAAACACGATCAGATTAAACATGGGCATGTAATAATTTTTAAACTATTTTTTGGGGGAGTCTTTGCGCCCCTGCTGGCCAGTGGTGGAAAATGCATCATCTCCGTAAGAGACTTTTTTGCTTGTCATCATGCATAGAATTTAATTTCCGAATTTGGTACAAATTCGATAATGTTGACGTTTCATGTCTATGGTAGGGGGCGCTATAGAGTTCACTTTTATTAGATTTCATATTTCATTACATTCAGGCCTGGATCACACAATTGTGATTTGAATTTGAGTTCTCTAGGACAATGCCTGTGGCCGTGACAGGTCACCGAAGAAAGAAATGAAGGTGTTTTTCGCCGGCGAGCTACGGGCGAACCGTAAGGAGTATCCCAAAAACGTGGATGATTTGAGTGAAGCTGTCTTTAGATGTGACATGTCAAATGCTCATTTGGACCAAACACCAGGGACTAGTAGCATTGTGCACACACGCAAGTCAAAACGGCTCCGAATATTTGATCCAATATGGCCGACTTCCAGTTTGTCATAGGGTCATGCTCCAATTCATCTTTTGGCTTGTGTCATTGTTCTCTATCACTGTCCCGAATTTCGTTTTCCTGCGACAAACTTTGCCTGTCCCCACTCCCATAGGGGTCCAATTCTAGGCGGCGCTGTTGAGTCGGGTCACTCGGGTCATTGTTGCGATGCCAATTTTATCGAATTTTTCGACAAGCCGGTCGATCTGAATCCCGGTTTGGGGACTTTTCGTCCATGTTCAGGGGGTCAAAAATGCGATTCAATGTGGGGAAAAAGAATTTAAAAAAAAAAGAAACTGAGGAAGAACAATAGCCCTCGCCAATTATTACGTTACTGGCTCGGGCCAATGACATATTCCTAGGGAGAAAAGAGATGCAATGAAGTCTGCCATACCGCAATACATTCCAATAATCACATAATTACCGAGCATTGAATAGAAAGTAGTTGGCTATAGTAGGCTATTAATGTGTGCTGTTGTACACATTCATAAAGAAATCATAGCCTAGATAATAACAATTTCAGAACATTTTAAAACATTAGGAACAACATTTTAAACACCCGATGCTGTAAATATGATATTATAACCCCTGTGTATTAGGATAGGCCTACAACTGTTTAGTAAGTTTTATTGAAGGGTTTCAGATGGCATCACTACATTATATGGGCCAATATTATTTAATACAGATGAGGGACATGTGAAATTAACATTGTTCAGCTGATGATTTTTGTTGCAATACAGCATGATCTTGGGACTAGTCAAGAACAGAAATGATGAGGTTCCATATTTTTGGGAATTTACCTTTCCAATATTTCATGGCAAAATACAGTGCAATTATTTAGTGGTTTTCAGATGTGAAGGTCATATGATCAGATGGGGGCAAGAGATTCTGACCTATAATTGTGAAGTCATCTGAAACCCAGCAATTGGGTTGTAGGACTCACATTATTGATTTTTTGTGTGTGTGTGTTTCTTTTTTAAAATAATGATCAGTATATCAGTATGAGACTATAGTATTAAAGATGAATGAATGTGAAGTTTTTCTGATCCCTGGGCTATAGAGTCTCATTAGCCTGAAGATGGGAAAACAGACATACAGACAGGTATCCCGTCAAAGCCTCCCTGAATTAGGTTTAGCGAGCTCGGTAGTCCTAGGGTTATTATATGTATGGCACTGCTCTCAAGTGGACAATCTACTTCACTGCAGTGCACAATACATTACAATAAGGTTCTTCTAGGTCACATTAATCATATCACATTACAAAAAATGCAGTCATTTTAGTTTATTTCTTATTTTTCAATTTCAAATTTCCAGTAGAGTGTAAATACATTTTTAAAATCTGTTACCTTAAATTATGCCAAGAGGGCATTTTTTTCACTCCACTTCATATTGTGAATGTAGTATTTTGCCAGCATTATAACTAAATTGATAATATTTAATTTTGAGTTATCAGATATAAGCAGTATGTATGTATGTGTGTGTATGTGTGTGTGTGTGAATTGTGTTACCATGGTAACTACTGAACATTCTGCCATCCACATACATGTAGAACGCCTCCAGTACCTCCAGTGTCAAAACCAGTTGTTTCTATGTAAACCTATTCCATAAAACTGTGAGGAGAGTAGGTATATAAAGTAAAGAGCAACACAGCAGAACCTGCAGATGAAAATTAGATAATTCACAGGATGTTTTCCAACAGTAAAAAAACAATGCAGAAGGAGATCTCCCATCCTATTGAAAAAAATATTTGGAAAAGCATTCCATTAACTAGGTGGGTTTTAAGGAATATTTTTTATCCAGTTCAATTTAATAATCTGATTGGATGCCACAAATATCTAAAAAAAAAAAAAAATAAATAAAAAATCCAGACTCATTGCTGTATTAAAGGCTGATATGGATCTGTATAACAAATACAGAGAAATATCCTTCTGGATTTCCAGGCAAATCTAACCATCCTTCAGTTAATGAATTTATGAGAACTATTTCCTTTATTTTGTGAGACTTGTTTTTTCATAGGAAACTGGTTAATATTTCCTCATTATTGAAGCATAGTGATTTGGAGACATCTAGTGTTGAAAATAGGTAAGAGGCACTTGACGTTCTGCCTTCCTTTGTACTATATATAGCAATTAAACTTTTTTAATGGCATTCCCTACAGGTGTAAAGTTAATTGTAATTTATTTGTGTTCTCTAGAAAATTGTATTACAAGATAAGTTGGTACTGCTGTTAATCATGAGCTTGGATCATGTGCGCACATGCTCTTTAGCGCGGCCTCTTAAAAGTTGAAGCTATTTATAACTCTGCCTTGACTGTATTTGTACGAGGCTTCGACTGAAATTTAGATTTTACTTTTTTTCAATAAAACAGCGCCCATTAAATCTAATTAACCTCAGGTGGCGCGTCACGGCCGGGGATTTTACGCCGCGGTGCGTCACTACGTAGCGTCGCGTTGCGTCGAGGTCGTCTCTGTCCTTCACATCTCTCCACATCTCCTCGGTTCGTCTCTGCTCTTCGACTGAGTAACGATGGCTCTACTCACAACCAACAGGTTTCTGTCCGGCCTGGGGAACCTGACCCCGTCCCTGGGAGTCCTGTCCACCCGCCATAGGTAAAAATCAGCACACATTTCCATGGCTCTGCGAGATCTCAGGGTGTAGTTCAGAACGTGCTATAGCTGCGTGGTTTTCTGACACAGCTCCAGCTTGTGCTTCCAATATGATTAAGCAACAGTTATGGCGCCTAGATGTTTGTGGTTTAGCTATCTGCAGCCGAGTCACCGTCGCACTTAGCTAAACTGACTTGCAATAAAGGTTTTACTTTTGAGGGTGCTATCTGTAAAGCTAATGAATGTCACAATGGTATTAGTGTTGGTGTAACGTTACGTCCTATTCAGGTTTCTTGATTAAGGTCTACGTCTTGATAAGGCTCCTTGCCTTTTTCAATGGCTACTAATACTTTGGCATTTACAATAACCCCCATGGAGTTCTTCACCGCTGCTAAACTAAGGCACGTACGATTTGAGCCAAGAGGCGACCCGTACTTTATGTGGTTCTGGACGATGATTGGCTCTCGCGCTCCTCCTGTCTTTGCTGATTGGCTGATGTCTGACTGAGGCAGGCTCAGAGGAACTAGTGTCCTTACTGAAACCTCTTGGAGGACAAACCGTTGCACAGTTGCAATAATCGTCAATACTGCTGTTCCTGTAGCCGTTTAAAAACTTTTATAAAAAAAAAAAATCAGAAAGTGGCGTTTATTTTCCCTCCTTTTAGTTGTAACCTGTTAGTTTGCTAAGAGTTTTTTTTCTAGAACCTATCACGTTTCAGTTTGGTATTTCATGGTATCAAGCGCCACAGTTATTCAGTCTATATCCATATGTCTAATGTTGTGAACTTCATGTGACTTCTGATCTAGTCCTATTATATAACCATAGAGTTACACTTGGCGCAGTAGGCCAAATCTTTCATACAAACTGTCATGTTTACTAAAACATGCCAATCCACCCGTGTGCATGTAAATATTGACACGTATATTGACAGAAATTGCATACTTTTATTCATTAAACTTGAGTATCTCTTGATCTGTTTTGTTTATTTTCTTGGCGCATATGCAACAATACATGTTTTCAAGACTTTTTCACTGATCACAAGCATTCAAAAGCTAATTCATGTTCTTATTAATTCGAGAGGACAGACTGTAGGTCACTGAAGCGGTTTAAGCAGGATTATTGATCACCACTCTTGTTTTGGACTCTGAACCTGTAGAATGGATTAAAATGTTTGTTTCAGGAAACCTGAACTTGGGTGTTTCACATGGTTGAAATAGGAATTTGGTACAATCATATGAGTAGTTAAGCTCCTTTCTGTTCAGACTATGGCTAATGGATGTAAAATGATTGTCTATGGTCAGGAAATTGCGCATTGTCAACTTGCATGCAAGTCATTATTTGCTTTTATATTTCAGTTCTTGGTGGAGTGGAGTGGCAATGGGCCCACCTGATCCCATCCTGGGGGTGACTGAGGCTTTTAGGAGGGACACTAACCCCAAAAAGATGAACCTGGGGGTGGGAGCTTACAGAGACGATCAGGGCAAGCCCTTTGTGCTCAGCTGTGTTCGCAAGGTTATATATACATATATATTTTTAACGCATGTATGCAATTTAGAAGCCCTGTAAATGACTGATACATTTATTTCAATTCAAATAAAAAAAGAATGAATTACTGCTCATCAAATTTTATTTCTTCCTTTTATGCTCTTCAGGCAGAGGCCTTGATTGCTGCCAAGCAGCTGGATAAGGAGTACCTTCCCATTGGTGGTCTGGGAGAGTTTACGAAGGCTTGTGCCCAGCTGGCACTTGGTGCTGACAATGAGGTCCTGAAAAACAGCAGGGTACGTTTGATATAACCTGACTGAAGCTTATAGCTCGTATTTCAATATTATAACTTAAGTTTATTATGCTTTTCTACAGAGCATTACTGTGCAGACCATTTCAGGAACTGGGTCCTTGCGTATTGGAGCCAACTTTTTGGTTAGATTGCTATTCTTTTATTTGGTATAAAATAACAATATAAAATGTACTATCTGATTGTGTTTTTTCTCCCTGTGGTGCAGTCCCGATTTCATACAGGTCCACGAGATGTGTACTTGCCCAAACCCTCTTGGGGTAACCACACACCCATCTTCAGAGATGCAGGGATGCAGCTCAAGGCCTACAGATACTATGACCCCACAACCTGTGGTTTTGACTTCAGTGGAGCGCTTGAAGACATCTCTGTAAGCCAGACCTTGGCTTGACTATTGTTTTAATAGTGAAGATATTTACCTCAAAAGCCATTATTAAGACTTATCTTATTGGTTTTAAAATTTCCCCACATATTTACATACTTCTTTGGGCAAATTTCTCACATTTTACAACTGCATTTTCAAATCTTTATTAAGGTTTTGTCGTTTTATTTTGAAATTCTCGTGTTGCAGAAAATTCCAGAGCAGAGTGTGATTCTGCTGCACGCCTGTGCACACAACCCCACTGGTGTGGACCCTCGGCCTGAACAGTGGAAAGAGATTGCTGAAGTTGTAAAAGTGAGTGAGATTATTTTATCAGCTGGAGTTTGAAAGTGTCATCTGATAAAGAGAATTGAGTGTCCTTGTCCTAAATTGAGTTTTTATTTTGCAGAAAAGGAACCTGCTTGTCTTCTTCGACATGGCCTACCAAGGGTTTGCTAGTGGAGATATTAACCGTGATGCCTGGGCAGTTCGTTATTTCATAGATAAGGGTCACAACATCCTGCTGTCTCAGTCCTTTGCTAAGAACATGGGTCTCTATGGTCAGTTGACAAGCACATCATAAATGCTAGTTATCATATTTGAGAAAATTTGTTGGACTCATATTTAAAATTTACAGTTAAATAGGACGGAACTTGTGCATTGTCACCCCCAAGTGGCCATTATGTAGGAGATGGTTGTTAATTATTGTCAACTTTTTATCATAGCTGTTCTCTTGCACATTCCTCAGGTGAGCGAGTTGGAGGGTTCTCTGTGGTGTGCAGTGATGCTGATGAAGCTAAAAGGGTTGAATCTCAGCTCAAGATCCTCATTCGGCCAATTTACTCCAATCCGCCAATGAACGGCGCCAGAATTGCCACAACTATTCTTAACACACCTGATCTGTATTCACTGTGGTATGTGTAAAGATTTGATTTATCATTTAAGATTTAAACTTAACACATTGAATAAAATGTTAACGCATCTTGCCCAGGTTGGAGGAAGTTCATGGCATGGCAAATCGGATTATCAAAATGAGGGAACAGTTGGTGGCTGGTCTGAAGAAGGAAGGTTCCACTCACAACTGGCAGCATGTCATTGACCAAATTGGGATGTTTTGCTTCACAGGCCTCAAACCGGAACAGGTGTGTGTTCACTGCTCTTGGTGCATAATTTTCCAAAAAAATTTTTTATTTTTTTAAAAATTATTTTTTTGTGTGTGTGTTTTTTAGGTTGAATGTCTGATAAAGGAGTATTCTGTGTACATGACCAAGGATGGTAGAATTTCTATGGCAGGTGTGTCCTCTGGAAACGTGGAATACCTGGCTCATGCGATCCATGCTGTCACGAAGTAGAGCGGTTCTGTGATATTGAGCTACAAAATCAAAAATGCTTGAGGAGTTCCTGGGTCACCTCTTTTCTCCTACATTTTGCTTATAGCTGGCGGACTTATTTTTTGTCAGCTTTTCTTCACACTGGTTTCAGTTTTAAAATTACTTTTAGAGTTTAAACCCCCCTTCAATTTCTTTGTAAACATGCTAAATGTGACTGAACCTGCATTTGAATTAAGGTGTGCTATTTCTATAAAGGTTTAACTTTTAGTGGACAGTTAATATAAACAAAGCCAACATTTGTTTTCTTAAATGTTGATCTTAAAAATTATTTTGCACTTTAGACGTTCAGGCACTTGTTTTTTTTTTTTTGTAATGACTGGCTAAAGCCCTACTTATGTCAGCTACTTGGTTTAGGTCATAAACTGAAATGCTCACACTCGCCAGTCAATAATCAATCATGTTTGTAAAATGCTGCAGAATTAAACACACCAGTCAAATGGAGAGGTCGGTGATGCAGACTGTAGATGAACTGTAAATGTTTTATAGTCCCAGTTTGTCCTAGTTTAAGTCTTTGATTGTGTGACTGCAAATGGTTGTGTGGAAGTATAAATGACTGTAATGGCAAAGAGGAGACATGCAACTCTCATTGATATTGATACAAATTTGGTTCTGTTCTGTAAACTGAAAACCAATCTTCAAAAATCCAACTCAAACCTGTTATATTGCATTTTTATCATACAAAGCAGCTTGTTATTGGTCATGTTCATCACTGAACTTTAATAAACTATGGTGGTAAACTTGTGAAGTCCACTCATTCTTATTTGACCCTTTAGCCAAGGAAGTGATGGTATTATTTGATTCTCGATTTCACTTAATCTGTAGATGATGTGGTATTATGATGTGATGAGTGTTTTACACTGAGTAAAAATCCGTGAACTTACTGTGTTCGTTTGATCATCAGGGTTAAATCCAATCTGTCCACACAAAAGAACTACATTACCCAAAGTTTCAATCACGTGCATAGTCTATGGTCACGTGACAATCACATACCCCGCCCTCCTTCAGCCTTGACCAAAACACGGTGCCTACTGTGCTTATTCATGGTGGTGTGTTTAACCACAAAAGCGACAAATCTCTGCTCTTCACACCAGAAAACGGCACCGGACACAACTAAGGTGAAATTGTTAATATTTCGTTTAGATGTTTTGTTAGAAATCTCTTATGGTGGTGATCAAGCAAATAGACAGCATCCTGTAGTTAGCTAGCAATTGTACAATGCACAGATAAACAAGTGGCCCATAGTAGACACTGTTTATTTTACTGTTATTTCTTGGTAACTAATTATTGAGTTTGCAATATTATTAATTGTACAAAGGTCTCAGCCTATTTTTGTTTTGGTCATATTCTTACATGTTAAATATTTGTCCTTACAGAATGTTCACCATTTGATCATTTCTGGGTTAACGCAGTGAAAGAAGTTTGTTTTCTTTGATGCTGCTTTTAAAATTTCTATTACTTTGAGACTGGGAGCATCAGTGCCATGGCTATCAATGCAGATGTGGCGGACTGGGGTGGAATAGGCAGCACAGACTCTGGAGAGAGGGCCCGGCTGCTGCAGAGCCCCAGTGTAGACTCTGTGCCCTACATTGAGACAGAGAGGAGAGGTGGTGGTGTGTCCTCTATTGGAGCTGTATTCATTGTAGTCAATGCTGCTCTGGGAGCAGGCTTACTCAATTTTCCTGCAGCTTTTAGTATGGCTGGAGGAGTTACAGCTGGAGTGATGCTACAGATGGTAAGGATATGCTAAAACTTTTTTCCCTCAAATATCTCAGATTATCATTGTAATTGGGCCAATATTCTAGAGAATTTATCAAAAGATTCTTGTGTGTTGTGTTACAGTTCATGCTGATCTTCATTATTAGTGGGTTGGTGATCCTTGGTTACTGCTCTCGGGTTTGTGCAAACTCTTTTTTTTTTTTTTTTTTTTTTTCCCTCTGTGCATTTACAGCATTCAGCAGATGGCCATAGTGTTGCATAATAGCCCAGACCTTTAACTTCCTGTGTCAAAAACATGCTGCTGACTCATTTAAAAGTAGATATTCAATCACACAACATTTAAATTCATGCCCAGAGTTCCTATGTTATTATGTTTATGTTGTTTAGTGTTTAATTATTTTGTTGGATATTCAAATGCTCAAGTAACTGTCTTCTGTAATAAGTATATCTTTCATTTGTTGAATTGAGCATTAGGACTAAAAAGTATTATGTTATGTCTAAATACTATTTTTAGATCAATCATAAAGTTTAATGATTACATGTGTTTGTTTAGGTCAGTAATGAAAGCACCTATCAAGAGGTGGTACGAGCCACATGTGGGAAGGTGACTGGAATTTTATGTGAAGTAGCCATTGCTATTTACACATTTGGCACCTGCATTGCATTCTTCATAGTTATTGGAGATCAACTGGATCGCTGTAAGTGGAGTTATATAGTTTATGAATTCTAGTGGATAGTATATAGTATATGTTTTACATTGTACAAATGCATTATAGTGCACACAGACCTCATGTGACTTGTTTAAACATTACCAACCACATGCTGACAAAATGAAATCCTAGTTTTGCAAAGTATTACTTTTTCCATAGAGATGTGACTTCTAGAAATGAAGATAGTTTTGCAACAGTTATTGAAAGTTTCACTGCTTTGGCTGTCTTTGGCCTTTCTGTTAATTATACTTTATCATGTATTGTAGTAATTGAAGCTGCAAATCATGATGGTTCAGACAGCCACCCTTGGTATATGGATAGAAAGTTTACTATTTCCATGACAGCAGTCCTTGTTATACTCCCTCTCTCCATTCCCAAAGAAATTGGTTTTCAGAAATATGCCAGGTATATATGTCATTGTCTGTATTTTATATTTTATATTTTTTATTGATAATGTCAAAATGTAGTTTGTTTCATGTTGCTGCTCTGTCTCACTCTAGCGCAATAAGTGTAATAGGGACCTGGTATGTTACAATAGTTGTCATCATAAAGTACATCTGGCCAGATAAAAACGACATGCCGGGGTACATTCCCATCAGGTGAGTTTATACTTAAATTTGTATTTATGGAAAAAAGTCACATCTAAGCAGTTGTTACAAATACTCAACTATGTTATAGCTCTACACCTTGGACGGCAGTGTTCAATGCTATGCCCACTATCTGCTTTGGCTTCCAGGTATCACGTCATTTTGTTTTGGGGCCAAACCTGTGTCTCTCATATTATAAACTGTTTCTTGTTTCAGTGTCATGTCAGCGCTGTGCCGGTCTTTAACAGTATGACAAAAAAAGAGATCAAACCATGGGGACTTGTCGTAACACTCAGTATGTTCATCTGCCTCTTTGTGTACACAGGGACAGGTACTGGTGTTGTGTTTGTGTTCTGCAATCATATGCTTATTTAATTTCAGTAATAAATTAATATGGATTTTTTTCCTTACAGGTGTTTGTGGATTCTTGACATTTGGCTCTGGTGTCCAACAGGATGTGTTGATGTCATATCCACCGAATGACATTGCTGTGGCATTTGCAAGAGCTTTTATTGTTGTCTGTGTTGTCACTTCATACCCAATCTTACACTTTTGCGGGAGGTTAGTCTCATACAGTAGCTTGTTTGTGTTTGATGTAGTCTGTGTAGATACTTTATTTAATCATAATTAAGCAAGTGTGGTGTGTCTCTGTGATTGTGAACGAGTTTAGCTCTCTATTCTCAGGGCCGTGATAGAGGGGCTGTGGCTGCGTTTTCAGGGGGAACAAGTGGAGGTGTGTGTGCGTCGTGAGCAGAGGAGGAGGATCCTCCAGACACTAGTGTGGTTTATAATTACCCTTGTTCTAGCTCTTTTTATACCTGATATTGGACGGGTAATCTCACTGATTGGAGGTCTGGCTGCCTGCTTTATTTTTGTTTTCCCAGGTGAATATTATTTTTGTTCTTTTTGTCACCTCTGTTGTTTTACTTCTATTCAATCCTGCTGTTATTTTTGTTTAGGCTTATGCCTGATGCAAGCGAAACTATCGGAGACAGACAATCGGTCTATCAGGTGAGACTGATTTAAGTTTACTTTATACAGAGTTTAAATGTTGGAAAAAATAAAGTTTAATTAATTGGGAAATATGGCTTTTTAATTTTTATGTGTTCAGTATATAATAGATTTGTGTATTTTTTTCTTAGCTGGCATGGGATGGTCATCTTTGGTGTGGTCATGGTGACACTCGGAGCATTCATTTTTGGCCTCACAACATCAAACTCAATCTATCAAGATGTTAAGACATGAGAAGTGTTAAACTGATCATGTATCATCAGAGACTGCTGCAAAGACAGAATATAGGCCATCACAAGGTACAGTCAATAGTCAAACCTCCAAAGACATTATGTGAACTTGTGGACTTGGAGATCAACCGACAACAGACATTGATTTTAAATGGATAGAAAAATATTGTATTTTAACTTTTTTTTTTTTTTTGACAAAACATGTCTTTGGGTTTTTTATCATTGATGTATCACCAACTTGTTAGTGATGAGACTACATTCTGCTGGTTTAATTCAGGGTAATACATATATAAATTTCAGCATTTTAGTAAGCATGGTGACATGACTTGGTAAGAGATGACCTACTAAAATAGCTACCATCAATAATTATGATCCAAGTGATTTAGAACACTCAGTATTCATTAGTTTGCACTACTGCTAATTGTGTTGATCATTTGTGCACATTGGTGTACAACAAAGGTCATTGATGACACTATATATATATGTGTAAAAAGCATGTTATATCTTTTGAGTCTGAAAGTGAAGGGCATGTGGCTGCTCACTGCATATTTTGTTCTCCTTTTTATACTAGCTAAGTCAGATGACAAGTCAAAGTTCAAACTGTGACAGTGAGTTAAGTTATTCTTTTGTCTTGATACTTGAAGGTATTTATTTGATACAAGTACCACTATTCAACTGAAAGCTTTTATTGTATTGCTTTCCAGAATGCTCCATCCGTGTTATTAAATAGCAAAAGGGATACAAGTCTAATTGATTTATCTTGCCTAATTCATTTATGAAAGGGACTAAATGTGGCCTTGGAAGGTTATGAAGTCACTAGACATTTGAATTTTTTTGTTTCTTTAATTTTATTTGGGACTTTTTAAATTGTGTATATATATATATATTTTTTAATATATATATGTTTTTTTTGTGTTTTTTTTTACAAACGGTTACTTTGAATAACTACACAGGAAGTGTCAAACAGTAAATTGTTTAATAAAAAGACAAATGAAAGAAACAACTTATTTACATTTGTACATCTCAAGAAATAATTTCTTGTTGTTACAACATCTGTCCTTAATAGTGCATTAACTACAATCATTCAGCTTTCTTTAACAAAAGTTCCCCTTTTATGTTCACATAAGTAAAGTAACAATGACTAAAACCTTTATTACAATTCATAAGACAGAATGAGTCAGCAGATGGTCTAGACAAGATTAAAACCAAAATTTGCTCCCAAAAAATAAAATTATATGTTCCATAAACTTCCCTGAGAAATGTACTCAATAAGAGACTAGTGCAGAAAACACATGAATAGATTCTCAGTAATCACTATTGGTTATAAATGACTGAAACATGTGGAAAGCTGGATCTGGGGCCCATTGCGGCACCATATGACCAGCCCCCTATAACATAACAGAATACAATAAATAAACTTGACAATGATAGTTGATGTTCATTTATAAAAGGTAAATTATAAAAATCCTCTTCTTACCTTCACTGTAAGAAATGTGATGTTGGCAAATGTCTGATAAAAACCAGCAACTTGGTCCTTATAAAGCCATGTCTTGTAATTTGTGGTAGCCTGGAAGATGTAAAATTTTTATATAGTCCTGAACTAAAATATTATAGTGTATGGATAATTAGCCAACCTTTATGCCAAGATCCTCAACAAACCACTGGTCTCCGAGAAAATTGCAAGCCATATCAGTATCTCCATTGTACACAAGTGCTCGAAGGCCTAAGGAGAGCAGCTTCAAGTAGACTTCCTTCACAGTTGGATAAAGGGTGGTGTAATTACCACTAACAAAATCGCTGCATTGAGTTAATGGTTTTTAGTTTCAAAATAGCATAACAGCACAACATGAATAAGAAATGTGATAAGAAATGTAATTACCTGCAGAGGTCCCATGGGGGCAGAGTATCAGGAATATGTAAACCTTTCCTCACATCACCTCTATTGAGCCACTGTGTCTGAGCCGTGCTGTCAATGCAGGGTGGGACTTCTCCAAGAGTCTTGTAGGGCTGTATCAAGCCTACAAACTTTAATGAACTTGATTAAGGGGGATTCTTTATGCAGGCAGTGTAAAAGTCACTCGTGTCAATAACAGACATACCTTGTGTCTGTCAAAATTCCTTCTAAAGTTTTTAAAAAGGTGACTCATTGCCCTCTCATAAGCTTTATTTGTGCCTTGACAGTCCAAGTAGAGGGCATATTCATTCAGCCCACTATTGTAAATTATACTAAATGCTACATTCACCTGACAGTAATAGAACAGGATAGTTAGTCTAGTTAATCCGGAAATGTCACATAATGAGATGGCACATGTTGAGGACACATACCATTGTTGCACACATCTCTGAACTTGAATTGTAGAAGTTGCATATACCATCTTTCCCACAGCAATTTGTTGTGAGCTCATACCACAAACTGAAAATAAGACAATCAATATGCTTACACAAAAATGATTGAATCAATTTAATCAACACAAAACAATATAGCTGACAATAAATTAAATAAATAGATAATTTATTCATATACACGATCCTGTAACTTACTTTTCTCCAAATAGTCCATGAAAATAACCAAAATAGATAAGTGACTGATCATTAAGAGCAAAGCTGCCAAGTCCGTTTCCTACTGCAAAACCCTGAGAACCAAAAGACAGTCACTCACAAAACTTCAGCTGGTGTCTGTATTATGAGATACAGGCTTGAATTTACCTTAAAATTGATTTTTGCTTTTCCTGTTGCTACTAGCAAACTAAGAGTTGGTACATATATTCCACCATAACTTTCACCAATAATAAAGAACTCATTTGTGGTGAAGTTTGGGAACTTGGAAAAGAAACTCTGTAAGGCCTTGTAATTGTCCTCAGCAACCTAAAGAAAATGTAAAAATTACATAAACACTTTGTGTTGGTATAATTCATGATCATCCTTTACAAGGAAATTGTTTCAAAGGTATTTGTCTTGTCTAGGTTTGCTCTAATTATATGATTATTTGGACTCACCTGATCATCGTCTGTTGCATATTTCTGGTCATCAGAGTAAGAATAACCTACTCCAGCAGGTGACTCAAGATACAGTACATTTGCAATCTTGTTCCAGCTAAAGGGATTCTCATACAATGTTTTTCCATTTTCATTTACCTGTAAAAATGTGTGTAATGTTAAACTGAAGTGAGAAACAGAAGTGTGTTTTATTGGCATTGGCACGAAAATACATTATTCTCACATGAAAGGGTCCATTCTCTGAAAGAAAACCCTCCATTGAGCTACACCCTGGACCACCATTCAGCCAGAGCACCACAGGGTCTTTGGATGGGCTGTTCTGAGAAGTTACAAACCTGCACATACAATACAATGACTGTATTAACTTAGATGTGGTGGAAATTAAAGAAATCAAACTGACAAAACTGACACAAACTAGGGTCTGAATAATGGGATGTTTTTTCCCCCTTATATAGTAGATTGTGCTGTGTAATTACGTAATTTAGGATTTAGTCATTTGAACATTATTTTTTTTATTTATCTGAATAGTTTTTGGTACAATAAACAATTTCAGGCTGAACAGTGGCGCTTTTCTAATAAAATAGACCTGCTTAAATGTAATATTCTGATTGCTGAATGTTGTAGCCTACTATGCTGACTGTTGGATGTGCCTATGTGACAAACTGAATTCTTACCAATAATGGAGAAACTTGCCCGGTCGTGCCTGCAGATACCCGGACCACTGTTTGTAGTTCGGTTTAAAGCCCATCCCGGGCAATTCATTGACTTCATCTGGAGCATACTGAGCCCAAGAACCTGCCTGAAAGACGGAAAACAGACACAGCAGCACAAATCCTCTACACATTTCTCAGGTTCAAATCACAGACCACCGAAAGCAGTGCTGTTGTTGACAGTAACTTCCTTGAAGATGAACTGTCCGCACACAGCGTCATATGACTGCAGTCGCGTCACGTGAGAGTATCACAGCTGCAGGAAAAAGTAATACCAAAGAAAGACTGGTTTGGGGCGTTATTACATTTAATTGTGTAAAACATTTTTTGTTCCTAGTCAGACCACAGCTCTAAGCCATTGTTACTTTCAGTGTGAACGCAAATATAAATAAATTTTAATCGTATATTTCAATATATTGCATTATAAATGTCAAAAGTTGAAAAGTAAAAAAAAAAAAAAAAAAACAGAATCGCTTTTACGTTACTCGTATTTGTTTGCTTTTATTGTGAAAGCGAGGGTTTGCGCTTCCGGTCAGAAAGAGGCGCCGCCGCTGAGTTTCTTTGCTGGGCGTAAACACTGGCATAAAGTCCAGATTGTTTGTTGATTTTGCAATTTAAGTGGTAATGTAGTTGGAGTTTTAAGTAAGATGTTGGATTTGCTTGTACGTTATGAGGTCGAGCTATTCGAAAATATTAACACATCACTTATTAGGACCTGGTTGTAGCTTAGTTTTCGCGGTGCAGATTCCCGCTGTTCTTCGCGACCCTAAACAAGGTAAGCTACTTCAGTTATGTCATTGTGTTTAGCAATTATGTGACACAAAGCAAATACAGTTTAATTTAAAAACGCGTCCTGGAAATAATAGCATTTTTACGTTCTGCCAAAAAAGCATTTCTACATATTATGATTTGTTGTTATTCCGTGGCACACATTTCAGAATAAGTGTAATACAATACTTGACTCTAAATTAAATTTAAAAAAATTATTTGAGACTCATTGAACGCTATATTCCACTGTTTATTTGATTTTATTTTTTTTAAACATGTCCTGACAGAATGGAAATTGAGGACGCCCTCTCAAGTCCTGAGGAGGAGAGTGAAGCACCCGAGCTTACTCCAAAACCTAGGAGTCTGAAGAGTCTCACCAAAATTGCTGTAAGATTTGTGGAACTAATGCATAATTCTGAAGGTGGACGACTTGACCTCAAAGAAGTGAGTACTGCTGCCCAACATTCAATTAAACCACTTGTTATGATGTTCTCTCATTATCTGCAATGAAATACCATCCAAGCAGTTAAAACTGCCAAGGACACCTTGCAGTTACAAATAATATCGCAAAATGTATATTTGTGCCTCATGGAATTGAAGCCCACGCTCATTCATAAAGTGTAAAAGCAAAGGAGATGCAGTACTAAACACAATTATTATAATAATTATATAAAATCAAGCAGATATTCTTTCATGACCCAGTGCATTTGTTTTTTTTTCATTGCTAATAATATGGAAGAATCAGTAAGACCATTATGAATCCTTTTTACTGAAAAATATTCAACTTAATACAGATTTGCACCATTCCTCGTTTAGGATTAAGGTAAAACTAATTCACAGTTCTTTGTATAAAACATAGTATTTGATAAAATGCTGTGTGTTTTTTATTCAGGCAGTGAAAGTATTGGCTGTCACTCAAAAAAGGCGAATCTATGACATCACAAATGTGTTGGAAGGCATTGGTTTGATTGAGAAAATAACTAAAAATATTGTGCAGTGGAAGTAAGTTTTCTTTACTATGCCATGTTTTCAGATTATGATTATTTTACAAATTGTGTATATATATTTTATCCAAACAAGGGGAGTACTTCCAGGAGGCAGTGCTGTTAACATAAGCCGACGGCACATGCTTTTAAAGTGTGAATTAAAAGAATTGAAGGAGAGAGAAGAGATGCTTGATCTACAACTTCGCTGGGTTCGGCAGAGCATCGAGTACATATACGAAGACCGCAAAGTATATTCTTTTTTGAGGATGATTAATTGATTGATGGATTGATTTATTACAATGCTTTCACTAATGTTCCTAAAGTCCCACATATAATTATAAGCCTTAACAAACATTCACTTTATCCTATGTTAGTCATGAGGATATCTGCAACTCCTTCAGTGGTATGTACTGATTTACCTGAACTACCGAATGTCTTATTGCAAACAATGTTTAACTACTAAAATGTCTTGTTTTTATTATTTTTAAATGTTTCACCCTTCTCAACTAGGCCATACAATACTAGCTCTACAAGCACCTTCTGGAACACAACTAGATGTTCCCATTCCCAAAGCGGTAAGTATGATATTTTTATTCTTGTGTTTTATTTTTTTATTTTTTTATTTTTTCTTAGGTCAGAGATGGTCCAACAACATACCAGATTCATCTGAAAAGCACCCATGGGCCAATAGATGTTGTACTTCTTAATAAACGCTCTGACAACTCAGAAGCTGTGATGTTACCAGTTCCACCATCCAAGGAAATCCTACATCGTGCTCAGTTAGCTTTGGGTAATTTAACAGAGAAGCAAATCCAGTCATTAGCTTGTCAACCTTCAGAAAATCCCAGTCAAAGAAATGTACGGACGCTTCAGACACTATTTCAGGAGCTAGAGTCTAACAAAACTGGCATGTCTGGATGTGAGTTTCTATCTTTTGACATAGCTATAAATGAATTATTATGATGACCACAATACAGGTGATGAGTGTATTTTTTTTATTCTTTGCAGTTCACTGTTTGTCAAGAAATATCAGAGATCTTCTTGACCCATCTAAAGGTAACATCCTTTTACATAAAATGGAACATTTTAGTCCATAAGGGTTGAAATACAATTACTATTTTATTTTTAGATATTAACACAGAAAACAATGCAGGTAAAGCCAGTCAGTTTGTGGCTACTGAGGGTAAGTGATTGTGGCATATTAGTATTAAAAAATAAAATGCAAAAGTTAATCACTACTTTTTTTTCTTTAGTTATTCCCTTGTCACCACCCCCAGTCAATGAATACCGCTGTAATCTGGATGAAAGTGAAGGCCTCTGTGACCTATTTGATGTTCCAATGTTTTGAGAATACTGACACTTAATATGGTTTTATCCTGTGTGTAATTGGTATTTTATATGCCATGTTTTAAGATATTTCATTCTGACATAAATAAACTAATGTTAATTAAATAATTTGAATATTTTCTTGTCTAATGGTATCGGTTGTGAAAAAAGGTGTATTATGCACACGGGAATTGTGTGTGTGGGTGTGTAAGTGTGTAAGTGTGTGTACGTACAGTACAGAATCATGGATCTATTAAAATAACTGGATACAGTATTGCTAGCTTGTAGCTGCCTCCAGTTGACGTAGTGGTCACTCACTGGAACTTCAGCTGAAAAAAATCCCATGGGCCGAGACTCGAGACCCGAGATTTTTCTCATAGAGCGCAATGTAATCACAAACTGCTCGTGTTCGTCTGACAGGTCACCTACAGCTTTCAAAAATATCGGATTTGTTTGTTGGCGATTTTTACCTTTGGAACCTGGGGGCTTGTACAGAATCCCCTAGCTCATGCAGTTCAATCTACAATTTGTTTTAGAGCGCCCTCTAGAGGTATTGCCATGTAAAACCTCTGTTGTCTTGTTACCATGGTAGTTCGAAAACGTATATGCTCGTCCAACTGACCGACAGGATATTTTTCACAACTTTCTGTCTCGGTTTTTGTGTCTGAAAACTGCGATTTTGGTCTAAAATGGTGAGCATGTTTGACTACCTTTTTATTTTTTGCAATTCTACAATAAATAACGGTATAGCCTCATTACTCTCGCATCTCAACACTTATCAGTAACTAAGTCATTGGCCTATGTTTTATATGTACTTTTCTATAGCCGCCCAAAAAAGGTTCAAGAAGCCTGAAAAATCAAGAACGCCTATCTTGATAGATGGCCTCACCAAGGATGAGATGTCCAAAGAACAGGTCAGCAATTTAAAGTAGCTATGCTACATTTAACCTAGGTTATAAGGCCATTTCTACAAAGTCTGGCTAATTAAGCTAATATAGTGTAATAGTACTAGTAATAGTACTTTTCCTTTTTTTTTTTTTTTTTTTTTTTTTTTTTTTTTTTTAAGTAATCAGTAATTCAGACATGTTTGTAAACACTAAAATGCTTTTCTTATAAAGTTGGAGGACCACATCATGCGTCTGAGGGAGGAACTTGATCGAGAGAGGGAGGAGAGGAATTATTTTCAGCTTGAAAGGGACAAGGTGCATTCCTTCTGGGACATCACCGACAGGAAGCTAAAGGAGGCCAAAGCTGAACTCAGAAACCTGGACAAAGAGTTGGAGGAAACAGAAATCAAACTTCAAGTAGAAATTAAGGTATTGTATACTAGTATTTTTCTATATATTTCTGTTAGATCACTACATTTTTAAACACAAATGTGTTCCTCTAGGTTTACAGACAAAAAATGCGACATCTTCTCTGTGAACATCAAAATACAATTTGTGAGCTCAACACTGATGCAGTAACCTCAAAACAGGCACTGCAGGCTGAGCAAACATTACTAGAGAATAAACTTAGGAATGATTTGGCATCTCTGCTCATAGACATACATCATGTGGACACTGAAACACCAATCATGGAGCTTAAAAAGGTAACATGCCCTTTTTATATGTGAAATTAATCCAATAATTTTCTTACCAAAATATTCTATTTAATGCCTAGAAGTATGAAGAGAAAATTGCTCATATGAGAGCAATTTCCAAAAAGAAACTCCAAGGTAAAGAGCTTACTCTAAAACATAGCTCTAGCACTAGAAAACAAGTTAGAAAACTTTTTTTCCATTGTAGATGCTGAGACCAAAAATGAAAAGATGCATGATGAGCTGCGACTGGATTTTGAGAATCAGAGGAAAACTGAAGTCAGCCAGGTCAGGGACAACTGGAACAAATTCATCTCAACTCTGATGGAGAAAGATAAAGATGTATATGAAGAATCAAAAGCTTTACTTAAGAACACAGAAAAAAAAAATGATATCCACAATGAACTTAAGGTAAAACATTTTTATATCCTATATTAGTGGTTTCAGAAGGTAATTGCGTATGTAACACAACTGAAACAAAGGCTTATAGGAGCACTGAGGCTACCATCCATAAGTTTATTTTTATTTTACTAGTAGATGGCAGATGTGAAACATGTGCTCCTAGCCCTGCCCCCTCATCTGGCCCTTGCTGAGGTTCACCTGTGATCTATGGTCTTCTGTCAAGCCAAAGCTGGAACACTAGCAGACTGCAAGAACATAGATAGGCTCTAATGGTGATATGTGAGAATACAGCAGAGTCAGCTAGTCTAATTATTAATAATAGCTTTAAGTTCACTGCACACTAATGTATTGCATTGTGCAAATAAATTACATTTGACCCAAGTTAAATAAAAACACACATACTTTGAATGACATGAGCAACGCAGCAGAAAATGACCTAGTATTATTTCTCTGGCATTTGTCTCTTAGCAAATTGTTGCAGATGAGTCAAACAACCTGAATAAATTTGAAAAGGAGCTGACACATGTTTTGGAGGAGAATCAACAAGTGACTGAGAATCTGACTGAAATTCAAGAAGAAATAGCTGTCCTTCAGAATAAAATGAAGTATAGGTCCAAAAAGTTTGACAACAAAAAGGAAATTGAACTAAATAATCTTGCATCTGAGTATGAGATGCTGCAAAAAAGATTTAAAGAGGTGAGCTACAGAATAGACATTTTAATTTATTTTTTTTTTAAAATTATATTAAATATGTGTCTATGTGCTGACAGCTGCAGTTGGAGGTGGCTGAGCTGCGCAAAACATCTGTGGAGACAATGGAGAAAATGAAAAACAAGGCGGATGCAAAACACATGCAGATGGAAAAGAAAATACAAACGTTGACAGAGAAGGTTAAAACAAATCCTGTTAAGACTTTCTGTATTTTAAAGTATAATGGTTGATTTCTGTCTGTTTATAGATTCAAAAGGATTTGCTTCTTTGCTGATCACAAAACATCATCAAAGATGGGCTGTTTGGCCTCACCCTGTTCAATAACACTGGATTTCAATACTACAGACCAAATGAATTTCTTCTCAAAATATTACTATGAGCTATATGCATATGTCACTAAGGAACCCCTTAAGTTGCCTTTTGATTTTAGATGCATTTTGTCAAGCAAGTTTGTCAAGCTTGTAGACTGTACACCATAAATCCATCCATTATCCATTATACACTGGCCCCATACCCTTGTCATTGGATAATTGTATTTGTATCAGAAATAAATTTAAAATGATTGTCACCAATCTCAACAGCTGCTTTGGACAGATGATTCCCTGGTGCTGTCCACATTTCCAGCACAGGAGGAGCGTATAGGGCATATCTGGTATCTCATTGTATATTCCCATGGTGAACTGAGCCTTCTGCTCTGAGTGAGTGCTGATCCCTGTGGTATCAATAATACAGGAGGAAGTTATTGTCCCTGTGCAGGCCACAGTATCGCACCACTGAAGCCACTTGAGGGAGGGGTGGGCTTTTCACTGGGCCTTCTAAAGTGTCAGGGCCTCAGACAGTGGTCTGGCACTGGGGGGTGGCTCATTGCCCTTGTATGGAGCTCAGTTGTAAAGTAGCCTGTTTAAATTGGAGTGTGTCTAAACACTGACAGCCTTCACAGTGCTACTGCTGTCCTGGTGAGTAAGACTACACCTGCTCAGGCCACTGTCAGGGAGAAGCAGCTGAGAGACATGTGAATGCAGAATTAGCCCTTGTCAGAGTCCACATATTATGGATCCTGGGTGTGATCCGCGTTATCCAGATTGTATGCCTGTCTGAATACAAGGGTTAAAGCTCTGCATCGCACATAGCCTAACAGGCCTATACCTTTGTGATTTTTATTTGTGAAAAGTGCCATTCAAATTAAATGGCCTTATTAACTATGAATTAGTTGGCTATGAACATTTAACGTTTGAGTCCCGTTTATAGAAATAAAATGTGATTATAATAGCATTACTCTGTGGTCCCCAATCAAGGGCTACGCGTGCACTGGCTGATCTGAAGCGCACTAAATTGCACTACTCGCTCACAAAGAGGACGGAGGAGGGAGGAGGACGGAGGGAGGGAGAAAGTTTTGGTAAAAGCGAGAGCGTCTCTGCGAAGGAGGGCAGATCAATGATGACGACGCATCAAAGTGTGGCATTTTGATAGAGATCTGGAAAGACTCGTGCCCGCATCACACAGCGGTAAGTGCTAATATGAGCTAGTGCTTTTTTATTGGTCTTGCGTTTTTTATTTACAACTTTATTTAATTATGTTCAGTTATGTTTTATTTATGTACACTCTTTTAATTTACTTACATAGACTGCTAGGTTTTTTTTTACACAAGACCTATGTAAACTAATGGTGTAAACCTTATGGAATGGGGCCATGTGGTGAAAGTGAAAAGGTAATGTAGTATCCAGTCATTAAGTTTTAATATTCTCTGGTGAGCTACGTTACTCTTTAGGGTTGTTTTAGTCCTTCCAAGAAAACTGTATGCATGTGTTAAATACAGGGCTTTGATCTTTTAATGTGTTACATGGTCGCTAACAAAGATGTGACAACTATTTCACATTGGATGCTGGGATGAGATGAAGATGGCAAAGAAACGGCCGGGAATGGCAACTCTTTTGTTGTTTACCACTATTGTTATATGTGGTACAGTCATAGGACAAGGGTCAGAGGGAACAGGTGAGTGCTGAGGTATGGTTTCTTAAATAATACCAACCAGAAGAAATTTTTTATTATATATTTTTTAAGTATTTTTTGTATGTGTTGTTGTTTTTTTTTTTTTTTTAGGTAGAAATAAGGATGAACAGAGAAATGCTATTCTTGCAGAAGTTCTTTCTAAATTGAGTAAATCTGGATGGAATTCAGAAATGAGGCCCTCACACTCCACCAAATCCCAGAATGTGCCCCCTGTCATGAGGAATATAATGGGACGACTAAAGACACTGTTTCCACACACAAAAATGCCTTCATTGAACAAGCCAATTGACCGTCACAGACTGTCTGGTTTTCTGTACAACATTTCTCAGTACCTCCAGGAGATGGGAGCTGAGTTGGAGGAGGCTCCAGCACAGTCTGAGGAGGAGCAGCTTTGGGAGAAAGTGCTGCACTTCTTTCTTCAGTCTGAGGGCAGTGCTGCAACAAACCAGTGGAATGGACGGGTACCACCAAGACCCAGCTTCACTGTGCAGGACTGGTTTCTGTCTTTGAGGGGCAGTCAGCACTGGGACTGGTTTTTGGGTCTTCTACAAAGTCTAATCACACTTTCAGAAAAGCAAACTTATAAACCACTGTTCACTGTCATATCCCAGAATTGGAAAACAGTGAGTGCTGTGTTGGAGGCAGCTCTCCAAGCTATAGTCAGTGGGACATATGGTCAGGCCAGTGCTGGTTTGCAGGGCTTCATTTGTGCTCTTAAAGGTCAAAGTGACTGCACCTACAGTGTGAACTGGCTGCAGCAACTTCTTCGCTTTTTAGAAACCAGGAACTGGAAGCCTGTAGTTAGTTTACACCCTCCAACTGAGCCCATGGAGCAGAACAGGGGCTCTGCTGGAATTGGACGTTTAAAGCCTTTCAGCTTACCTCCTGAGGCCATGAGACAGGACAGCCTTAACATGAGCACATCTTTAGCGTACATGAACACTACAGAAGAGCATAGTGCCTCCATGCAGAGCTTTCTCCTGCAGGCCTTGTCCCGCTCTAGTGGAAGTGGAGAGAGGGGGACCCCATCTGCTCAGAAGAATCTTGCTCTTGTTCAAAGTCTAGACGGGCTGAGGAGGGGCCTGCTGCATAGAGTTGGCAGCTCGGTCTACAGTAACCTGAGGAGGAAAGTGTCACGAGTTACCATGGCAATGCTGGATGATGTGGAAGGGTTAGTAGATGTGCCACAGCCCGACACAGAGGGACGCTGCTCTGTCGGTGAGTATGTCACATTCTGATTATACTAATTATATCACTATTGTTCTTTGACCCGGACCTCACCTGTTGCATTGACAGAGGAGACAGTGAGTGACACTGCTTTAAATCTTAATAATCATCCAAGTTAATTGAGAGCTTCTGTTCATAGGCCAGCTAATCTCTTTATTCTCCCATTGATGTCAGTAACATTATATCGTTGCCTTTGTTCACAAAGAAGCACTCTTATATCAGTAACAATTGCCTGGGTAGGCCTGTTGATTTTTCCATTCACTCACTTTGATTTGTCTTTATATTTCCATCTATGTGAAGGTGACCTGAGGCAGTTGATTTTATGGTGAGAGTCAAAACAAATTTTTACTGCATTCTGCACAATTTTAAAATGATTTCATTTTGTCATTTTGCTTTATTAAAGGGGCATTAGACACAATCTGACATGGAATACCCAGGCTTTGGGCTTCAACTCTCATAGTCTCCCAACTACACGTCCTCTTTTGTCCTGCCCGTCTATGAAGCTGAATGAACAGCAGATCAGTGCAAATTCCAAAGCAGCCTCATTGTTACAGAAAAGGCACCGAAAGCACGACAATCTGTTTTCCTTGTCTTTTAAATCCAACTTGAACTCTACTCAGAGAGCCAATGATCAGCTCAGAGACACTGACTACTTCAGCACCACAGAAATCCTGGAAGCAGCCTGCAATGAGTCCATTCCCGGGCTGACAGGGGTCTCGAACTTCACTGTGTTCCTCTATTGTAAACTGTTTGAAGGTGAGAATGGGTCTGTAGATGGTGCAGTGGCCCACATGGGGCTTGACTTGCCCTCCACATGTTCTGATGCTGCGTGGTACCTAGCAGCTGCTGAGGAGGATTTCCTGTGGGTTCACATTTGCAGTGAATTTTTTGCAAGTGAATTTAATAACACTGTATGTGCCAACTCATCTTTCTGGCTCCAAAAAGTACATGAGGTGAGTGTCAATGTAACTACTAATTTTGTATTTTTTATGAATAATCCACATTCTCATCTGATCATTTGCAGGCTACAGCGACAAAGGACTATAACTTTTTTAACTACTCCAGTATTGATGACCTCTGTGTACAAATGTTGGGTGAATCTACAGTAAATGCTGCCCTTAGTGAGGACTGTCTGGCTCTGTTGGGAAGCATGTCTCTTAACGCTGAAGCTTTCAGACATTGTTTTCTGCCCAATAGCTCTGTTCTCATCTCAGCTTTGTGTGGGAAAGCCCCCCCTGACTCCCCACACTTCCTGCCAGAGGGCAGCTGGGCTGCTGCATACTGCTCAAAAATACATAATTCCTCCCCTATTGACACCTCAGAGAATATGTGTCACTACAGACAGTGGGCAGTCCATAATTTTCTCAACAGTACTCTCCTGGAGCATTGTGCTCACATACACGGACTGAAAGAGTACATTTGTCAAAACACCTCACTCCTGCAACAGCTGGTGGGGTCAGTGCCACCGTTTTTGGATTTGTGTGCCAATTTTCAGGCAGAACTTGAGGGTAGGAAGTGCTTCCTTCAGAGGTTTTTTGAAATGCTGCCAGCACCCTATGAATTTGACAGCGCTCAACTCTGTGTGAATCCAGCTCCTTTGATGATAGAAATGGCACACAAGCTGAGCATGTGTGAGATTGAAGGAGGGGAGCGAGAAGGTTTTCTGGTGGTACTAGGCTATGTGCTGCGGCTCCTGGACTTCATTGTGGGTCTCTCGTCAGGTTTAGAGGAAGGTGAAAGAGAAGCACGGCAAGGTTTAGGCCAGGCCATCCTCCTTTCTAGTCTTCTTGACAATGCCTCCTGGTCCAGTGTGCAGCCTGAGGCCAGCACAAGTGTCCTTCAGACTGTGGGGGTCTTTTTACTTAGAGAGAAGAACACCACTCTGAAAGAGGACTTGCTAAGCTGCTTTAGTGTAAGGCGTGCCACAAGTTTATTTGCTCAGTCATTGTAAGTCACTAATTCTTGTTGTTTGTGTTTGTCAGCCTGTGTTATGGGACCTCATTCAGCAGGACAACAACTCAACAGCGCTCAGGGTGCTGATGCAGGTTAGTGAGTCTTACACTACATAACACATTTGTAAAGAAACTTGTACATTGTTTTCATTTATTCTACAGGAGTATCTTAGACTGCCAAGAAGCAGCATACGTAGCCTTGTGATGTCTGCTGAAAAAGATGCTGTTAAAAGATTCATCTCTCATATGCATCAAAGCTGGGATCAGTTACAAGTCCATACAAGCAAGGTTTGTTCTGAAATAACTGTATGTAAAAGTGACAAACAGTGCTTTTTCAGTCTGCTTACTAGTGAGTTTAGTTGATGTGACATTACAGCATTCCAGTCTGCACATATTTTACACATTTGCACAGCATGTCAAAAATCTTTAGTAGAATTGGCTGTTTAATTGTAAAAAAAATATCGTAGTTTGTGTTTTTTTTGTTGAATTATATTCACACGTCTTGCAAATGCAACATTTTGACTTTACAAGCATTGCTTAAAAAGGTGTACTTTGCTTAAATGTACTATATCTGTGTATTTTTTGTTTTGTTCTTCAGGTTTCTCAAACAGAGTTGCAAGCAATGGAAACAATGACAGCGGCATTCCTCCATAAGTTCCCCAGAGTGACTCCTGAGTTGTTCATTGACCTATCCCAGTTCATTCCCTTCATGTCTGTCTCTGATATCATGAACTTCCCAACATCCCTTGTGGTCAACGACAGTGTGTATGTATCTGTCAAAAAAATACACATTTCAACATTTCACATGTTGTAAATGAAAGATTCTTTACTTCAGTTTGACAGCTATTCGGGATCATAGTTCAGGGATGAGATCTCTGCAAAAGAAAGCCTTTGTGAATCGAATTCTTCAGTCTTCTGTTGTGGGGGATGTTCAAACATGGCCCCCTTATTTTCTTGCTTCTATCCTCCCGTTCCTGCCTTACCTCCCTGTCAGTCATTTTCAGCAACTTACATCACAACAGGTACATACATATTCATATTCATATTTAACTTCATCATATTTCAAAATTCTCTATACAGGAATTGTTACCTACAGGATTTTAGATCTGGATGGCTTATTGAACAAAGACCTTAACTAGACACATTTATTGGCCCATCTTTTACAGCTTACCCCTTTAGCTGAGTTGCTAGGCAACAGCAGTCTGGATGGAGTGAGGGGGCGTCATGTGCTTAGGACCCTTTTTACCAAAAAGAAGAATCTGACGGGAGACAACATAATGAGGTGGGAGCATTTGATACAATATAAAAGTTTTGTTCTGACTCTACAATTCTATACTGCGTAAAATACTGTAGAAAGTAGACACAGTACACTGAAAAAAAAAGGTTGCTGGATTTGCATAAAAAAGTTATGGAAAGCGGTTGCATGCAATAAAATTATGTTTAGGCTTTGAAACTTATTTCGATCCCCTCTACACATATTTTCTCAGAACATGAACGTCACTTTTTCATGTTGATGAAATTTTATCAAATCATGCTGAATATGCATATTTATCTTATGTTACCTTATCATGAAATGTATAAGTATGTATAATATAATTTAATTGATCTAATTCTGTAAAATAATACAAAAACAGTTTTTAGTTTTCCACAGTTCTGTATTGTCTTAACAGAATCAAACACACAAGAGCGCAAGTACAGAGACACAGTTTGGAACTGGACAGAGTGAAGATTTATTCCAGTGAAGACGCTCTGGTCTCTGCCTGTGGACACAGGAATAACACATGATGATCACATTATGATGATCTACTTTGTTGTACATGTTTAAATACATTTAAAGTACCTATAATGGACCAGAACAGAATCACAAGAACATTAGAACTGTATCTGCAGAAACAAAACTCACCGTGTGCTGCTTTTCTTCCTCTAAACACAGTAAGAGGTAGGGCATCTGGTATAAAGTCCTCCTAGTGCCACATCACCCTGTAGAAATACGATAACTGTTTCAATAGAAGTTCATTTTGAAAAATTTGTTTAAAATCATTTTAGTTGAGTTACTTACTTTGTTCATCTGTGCTCTGTGTTTTGTTGGTTCTCAAACATCTTCCTTTTTTCTGAAACATCAGCTATAACATTCTTGAACTTCCCCACAGCTCCAGCAGTGCGCTGGATAACACTCTTTTTTTGTAGACGACTCTGGAATAAACACATTAAAATCTTAGTACAACTGTCACACTCTTGTAGATGGACAGTCAAATACAATTTGACAATAAAGTCATGTTTCCACAACCTGATTAAAACATGCAGGTCTAACATTGACCACAATCAAGCGACCTTTGTAAGATTTAAACACGCTGGACAGAGAAATGTAAAAAAGTCATGTTATTTTTGTTAAATTTGTTTTTGCAATTTGAGCAACCCCTCTCGGACCATTTTTTCAGTGTAGCCTTCTCAGTGTTTCTTCATAATTATATAATTAATTCCACTGACACATTGATTTCCATTTGTTTTAACCCCATTGTTTTCTGGTTTTCAGGCTGGGCATCCTTGCCTGTTATTTGGACCCCTTTGAGCTCCATTCATTTTTCCAGGACCCAGCTGTGGCCTCCGCTCTTTGGCAGCTGCTGGCAGAGTGCATGTCCAAGGGCTTGATCAGTAACAAGGGCAGAGTGAGTACGTCTAAAGAAAAACCAAAACCACTAATGGAATGAATTAACAGAAGTGGTTTTCATCCTTATTGTTAGCTGTCCTCATGGCTTGTACCAGCAGTTCAGAGTCTAAACGTCAGCAGCATGGCTCTGCAGGATCTGTTTGCTCTCAGTGGGGTTCTGCCTGAGCTGGGCGCTTCATTTCTGTTGTCACTGCCCTCAGAGGAGCTTATAGATGTCCTCTCGCAACCTGGAATTCCACAGTTTTCCCCAGCGCAGGTCTGACATTGCAGTTGTGTCTTTTTAATCAGTGTTATTACTGATTAATGGATTAGCTGAATATAGCCCTGAAATAAAAATCCATAAAAATGCATTGAAAAACTAGTAAAAGTCATGCCTTTACATTTTCAACCACTTAAGCTAAATTAAAGTAACTATATTACTGCAGATGACATTAAATAATTGCCTTTTCCTATGATCATATATTTTATAGGCTTTCCAAATATTATCCAAGATTTCAAATGAAACCATTGTAAGTGTGTTCAAGTTACATGTTTTAAATTTCCACTTTCTGAATTTGGATCTCTGAGGCTTTGTGCTGATGTAACCCACCTGCAGCTCACCATGGACAAACTGTGCAGATTGAAAGCATTACACTCTGGGCTGTCCCCTACTGTGCTCCGAGACCTCCAGTGGAACAACATTAGTCAGTCTATGCCCTGTCAATGCTGGAGCAGCTTATTCTCTGAGCTAAAGCCAGGACAAAAAGCCATGCTATTTTACGCAATGCAAGAGGTGAGAATTTTTATATTTATACAGCTGTTTCACTCCATCGTTATATCTATCCTACTACTTTTCCTTTTTCTTACTACCTTTATTTTGTATATTAACAGGCACTGCAGAGTGAATTGTGGAGTTTTATTGAGCAAGCACATTGTCTTTTACCGTTTGTTCCTTTGAAAAAGTTAATACTAGACTTGAAAAACAACATTCTCCTGAACAATATAAGCCTGTTAAGAGAAATACCCTGGTCACCTCAGCAGGTACTATTTCGATGCATATATACATGTAGTTCTAACCTAAGATTTGAATATGTAGGCAATAATATCTTCATGCTGTTCCAATAATACAGTAAAATGAATAGCAATGCCTATCATATTGATTGAGCGGAGAAATCTTGCCAGCTCTGGACTTGGCTCATATTAATCAACGGCTCATTGGATATGCCTCACATGATCCTTTCAGGATATTAATACTCCATACGCATCAGCCACCATCAAACTAATTAGTTTGGATGTTGTACAATGATGTAGAGGAATGTAGCATAAATTAATAATAGCTACCTTTAAGTGCTTTGGTCGCGGCCAATAGCATATGAGTTGCTTTCACCACCTGTCATGCCTCTTACAAGACCTGTATTTAGGCATTAAAGATGACACTCCCCTGGAATAAAACCACAAATGCACTTATATGTAAAGTAGGCTACATGCATTACATTTTGAAAATTCTGTACATATTTTTATGATAAAAAGATAATGGTTGAAGTAGGATGTAATAACAAAATACCTAAATGTCTTTATAGGCTCAATTTTTGATTAAGAAGATTTTTCAGTGGCAAAATACTACCAGTACCATTGTGAGGTAATACACCATCTTTTGTTTAGTTTTTTGGCCAGTATTTACGTATGGTCATTATTCCTCACAGAGATCTAGGACTTATGGCTGGTGGAGTAAGTTGTAACTTGCTAGAACATTGGATCAATGACACAGAAGTGGACATTCTAGACTTTCTTACTGATCTTCCTGGAGATATGAGACCAGCTCTTGTAAGCACATCGTCTAGCATAATGTTCATAATTTATATAAGCCAATAATATAAAGGTTTGCTGTTTCACCAGAGAAAATGTATTGTAGATGAGCTGAGGAGGCATCCTGACATTAACCTGGACGTTCTGAGCTTAGGGTTTTCATTAACATTACCGTGAGTACTCCCCATAAATCTGATTTATTTTTGTAATAAATTAAGATTAATATGTTATTTTCATAAATTTTTTTGTAGAGTGACAATGGTAGAGAAGCTATCCAATGAGTCCTTCATAAATCTTCTTGGCTACATTCAAACACACTTTTCTGACTTCCTCAAGCTCCCACATTACAAACAAATACATATCACTGAGAGGGCAGTCACTGAACTGGTGAATATAGACAGAAATAAGGTATTAATGTAATTTTTTTTTTCTCAATAATATAGCATGTTGTTAAAACAGTATTATGGGTGGCATTGCATATTCTTTCCAAACTATGTTCAAAGAAACATCTTTTATATGACTGGTGAAGAATAATCCTTGATTTTACTCAGACTAGAGACTTGCATTTTTCTCACTTTCGAAAACATTTGTGAGAAGCCTGTTGTTTTGTACTGTACATCACAGGACGATGTAGGTGAGATTGGCAGCTCTGCTCTGGACTTCTTGGGGCCCTTGCTGCCTTTCTTAGACAGGGACAGTCTGGAGCTTGTGGACAGAGGAGCTCTTGCACTGAGGCTGGAGGAGATGAGAAACTTCTGCCTTCCCAAAGAGGCACTGAAAGACATAAGCGCTCTACTCACAAAGAAAGACCTGCTGGGGTAAGGCAGCAATGAATACTAAAACTTTTATGTTTGGAGAGTTTTACATTTTCACGGCAGTGCTGCATTCATAGTTGAAACTTTGAATAAAATTGTCTTTTCTTTTGGGTTTTCCCTTTTCTCTGCCCTAGTGCAGCTTTTGTTTATGTATACTTGGTACTGGCAACAACAATGCACTGACAGACAGCTTATTATAATTACATATTGGTTTCCATAAAAAAGACAAAACAGCTTCAAAAAAAAAAAAAAAAAAAGGTTTTATAGTTGGATATATATTAGATAATTGTTGACTGAAAGTGTTCTATATTTTGTAAACAGAGAACCATCTAAGTGGCATGTGAAGGATCTGGAACATTTGGGCCGTTTGGTGTTTTCATTGTCCCCAAAGCAGATTAACAGCATTCCACTGGTATGAAAGTTAAACATAATATTGGATATCATGTAAATCTCATATTTTTTGTTCGATTTGAACTAGTTTTAACGTGCGTGTCCTTGAGTAGGCCGTGTTGACTAAAGACACAGTAGAGCAGGTACTGGTGGGTCAGAAACTCTGGGAGGACAGTGCAATTGGACGCATGTGTGTGCTGCAGTGTGTGGACCAGGAGAGCCAGAGGAAACGAACGGAGAGTCTCCTCCGGGGCATTATAAAACCACGCAACAGAAGGGCAAAAGGTCCATGCTGATTTTTGACAAACCATGACACAGTCTGCAATTATATACTGTTGTTTGTGACTAAGAATTCACAGTTATCTTTTTAATTAGTGCCAGTCCCAAGCTGTGCTGATATCAAAGGAACATTCCCGTCAGCATGGACCCCACTGCAGCTGAACCGAATGTCTCAGGAGAGTCTGAAACGGTGCGTTGAGGTTTTTGGACAAGACTCTTCGCTGAGTTATGAACAACGGCGCACACTTTGGAAGAAACTTAAAAAGGTTGAAACCTAAGTGCAGTATGTGTATAATTGGTCCATTTACCATAAAACATTAATCAAACTACTCTGAAAATGCTACTTCTGAAAGATGGGACTAATGATGTAATTATACTATCTGCACAGTCTTTTAGTCCAGTGCGAATGCTGCATGAGGACCAGGTTCTGTCTCTTGGTGCCATTGTGACTGAAATGGGTGAAAGAGAGCTACAGGACACAGATCTGTCAGACCCTGGGGTTCTGGCACATCTGGGAACACTCACTGAATGGAGCAATAAAAAGGTGGGATTTTGAATATTTTCTGTTAAATATAAAATGTTCTATTGAAGAAAATGTTAATGTGTTTAACTGTAACTTGCAGATGAGAGCGGTAATAATAAGTGTGATGCGTAAACGAAAGCAGAAAATAGAGCAATTAACTGCTCTGGATTTGGCAACATTTGGCCACCTGATCTGCGGCCTGTACCCTTCAGAGATAAAAAGACTGAGTCCCGACAGCCTGAGGTGAGAGTCTATTAAACTCACATTAGGAGTATCTTGATAGCTGAGTGGTCAGTGTTTATTTCATAAAACACATATGTCTAATCTTAATTTTCCTAAAACTGCAGTATGGCGGTGCTGTTCCTACGAGAGATGTCTCTGCCATGCACTGAGCACCAACTGGAAGCTCTGACTGGCTGCTTGTCCAGACCAGGGGCCTTTGGTCCAGTCAGTACCTGGGGATCAGAGGTGTTCACAGAGATTGGGACATTGGCAGGTACTACAAAACGAAAGGTCTCTGGGAAAAAAGTTCATACAAACTTTATATCTACAAAGTGTTTTCCAAACAACTGAGTGTAGTGCAATAACACATCGCTGGATGGATGGATACAATTTGAAGCTCTCCCTGGGGCCACAGACATGAGAAAAACAGGAAAAAGTTTTTCCCTGAAGTTTTAGTTTGATCTGATATGAGAAACATTAATTGTGCACTTACAGAACTTGTGCCTGTCTTTTTCTCTCTTCAGCGGGCCTAGAGGATATAGTGCTGTCTGCTTTAGTGGAGGAACAGATCCAGGGAATCACTGCTGAAGCTATCCGTCTAATGTCTCCAGAGAAGTTTTCAGTGAGTTTCAGTCTGGTTTGGGTGACCTTACTGGGTCATATCATTCACTTTGTTTTAAGTTTCAATGATTAGCTTAAACATTACATTTGTTATTTGTGCAGGTGGTGTTCAGTGCAGTACAGTTGTCCTGGCTCAGCACAGAGCAGGCGTGGGCAGTGACTGAAGAGCAGTGGGCAGAGCTGGACCTCGAACAGAGGCATGCAGTAGGACTCACTCAATATGAAGGAGACATCCTGCTTGAGCAGAGAGGTGCTTATATAATATAATATAAAATAATATACGCAAATTTATGTCAAGAAGTCTATGGGAGAATAATGAAACTATTGTTTTTGCAGGAAGGAACTCGGCTCCATCTGCTGTAAACATGAATAGCTTTGCTGTCTGCTCACTGGCCCTGTGCCTTTTATTATGGCAAATGATTTAAAATTATGCAACAAATTGTTCCCTGATTTTCGTAGTATTATATTTGTACTGCAAATAAATATTTGAACTTCTTCATTTACTGTGTTATTTAACAAAATTAACGTAAAAAGTAAAAAAAATAAAATAAATTACATGCTGTTTGTAGTGTCCAGTTACACAGTTAAAAGGCATTTTGCTTTGTAACTGACTAGATTATTGTGGGTTGTTTATCCACTGCAATATTACCAAAATACCCATAATGTATCATAGAATAATTTAAATTCAGCCTTCTTTACAAAAGACTAATGTTTCATGATGTTTTCATATAGTGTACAACAATAACCCACTTGTGGCCTTAGAGTTTAACCATAATATGTCATGTGATGTTTAAATGCGTCATGTGTTGTGTCTGTCAGAGGGCTAAGCTGACCTCAGAAAAATGTGGAAAATGTAGTAAATGTGATAATACCACTTATATCCAGCAGATGGCAGTGTAACAGTGCTGCTGTTCGGCAGGAGGTGTAGCTTAGGAGCGTCTGTGACGCATTTCCTGGGGCTCGTAAGGACCACTCAGCGGCACACCAGAGGGGTATCATGACTATTTATAACCAACAATTCGTTCTTATCAATTTTCCTGCCGTTTTGCTTTTTCGTGGTCGTTTCTAACGTCGATAGGTGACAGTTAAACACGCCAGACACCGAGCATGATGTGAATTAAAGCGGGTAAGTTGATCCGAGTTAAGTTTCTCCTGTGCTTTAGCTAGTGTTTGACTTGTTTGGGTGCGTGGCTGCTGAGTTTGCTCGCTTGTTTTTGCCCCTGGTACCACCGGGGTCCTGGCACGGGGAAAGCCTAGACTCGTGTTGGCTTTTTGAGCCTTACGGGTCGACATTTAAGGCAACTGTGCTTTGTCTCGAAGGGTCGGTCCTCCACTCTCCGAGGTGACGTCGACTGCGCTGCGCCTGGCGTGTGTGGTCATTTTGGACCATCGAAACTGCGGGTCGTGATAAATGTAAATGAGTAGTAAAATTTGAGCCAACGAGGGCGGTATAAATTTGGGCTTGTGTTGAAAAAGGGGAGGCACCTGTGACAAGGCTAGAGTCAATTGAAGGCGGCGTCTACTATGTGTTAATCGGCACAATTTCAGACGCATTTGTCAAACTGAGAAGTCCCGTCGGCTCAGCTTTTAGCCCCTGTTCCGTCTCAGCTACGCTGTGAAGTCTGAGGTAAGTCCACAGCCCGATATCTATACAGTACCCTTGTCAGCTGACTTTACATTTTCAGGCACCAACTTCAGCGCACAACAAAGTGTGCATTCTCTGTGTCGTGAGCAGTTTCTCTGCTGTTGGTTCTATAAATACTCTAATCTTTTTTATACCACGCTACATGTTTCTACAGGAAGACTTTGGGTCAACTTTGAAATTGTCAATACTGCTATGGTCGGGGGATAGAGTGACCTAACTATGTGGACTTTGACATTGCGTGAAGTAGACATTGGTTTAAACAAACATCCTGCGGCACCAAGCGTAACCTACTTTTAACATAAAAAGAAGCTTTAATTCAGTGCCCTCTTTCTAGGTTAAATTAGCAGTACGTCTTGGTGAGTAATAATAATGAACAACTATCTGAAGCTGTCCTATTACCTTGTTGCTCTCGTTCTGGTCATGGATTTCTGTAAAAAGCCCCAATGATAATTAATATACAAATCACAGATAATTTGACACAATTTCTGGTTTAACTGGTTTCATGATTTTTGATTTTTCTTAAGTATCAAAATCATTAGGTCTAGCTGAGTGCCCCTGATGTAGAACATGTTTTGTTTTTGGAAATTAATCATATGGCACCTCACCATAAATTGTGTTTGCATAAGCCTTAATATTGTGGTGCTAATTAGTTGAGGTTTATTCTTGTAGATGATGGACCTAAGCCAATATGATGACATTTTAAGTGTCTCCTCTTACTTTTGTTAGTGAGGACTCGCTGTTTTGGGTTATTGTTCCAAATGAGTGGTTTGTATCATGACTGTTATTACTAATGCTGATTACAGGGGTCACTTACTGTTGATTATGTGCCACAGTATGTGCACGGTGATAATGAGCGCCTGAATGTCGTGTTTAAATGGCTTTTTTACCCATTTAAATGTAAATAAATTCATAATGAAATAAACAGACTGCTTTGTTAATGCCCTGATGGGTGCTGTAATAGTGCAGACATTATCCTTAGAGTTCAATGATACCTGCTAATTATATTGTACCATAGCTTGGCTGATCCCTCAATAATTGCTATTGGACATGTGGTATCATTTACAGAAGAAACACCGCTCATAGCATGGCTGCAGTTTCTCCTCTATATTCTGAAGGCAAAGTATGATGGTCTTTGGATTATTGGATGATGTTAGAGACACTTGGTTAGCCCCATTTAAATGTCCAAGCCATTTTGGTAGTAATAACTGTGTTTACTTCCAGCACAGGGACAAAGTTGAGTGTTAAGTTTTTTTGTGTTCAACTTTTGATAGTTTGATTATTTTTAATAATACAAACTGGTAATGATTTGATTTTGTGTTCTCATCAGTAGCTAATGAGACATAAAGTAAACATGTAATTAGTGTTTGGTAGGATTGTTGTCTCAATTCAAGCTAATTTCTCTGTTTATACTTAATAGGCTTAGCAAAGCACTAAACATGGTCAGGGGAAGACTGGCACAAAATTAACTTTGGAATTTTAATACTTTGTTGTGATTATTCAGATTATTTCATACCTTTTTTAAAATGTCACTTTTAATAAAAAACACCATATTTTTGAGCAAAGAAATATTACGTGTGTGTCTATTAATATCTTTCTGTAGGAGCATACATCTAATAATGTGGCAGGAAGTGAATCTTGTCACTGCAGTACTTTCACATTGGCTATTTTCTGAAAATTCACTCTCTTAACCGATAAAAGACGAATCACAAGTGGGACATGCAAGTTAATCCACACAAAGCAAATTTTACTGAAAATGCTGAGCTTTTGAAATGTCCTCTGTTTGCCTAACTTTGTCAAATGTCAATCATACGAGCATGCTCTGGAATGTGACTGGGATGGTTTGTTAATTTTGTAGAATAATACAATAAAGACTTTTCCACCAAAATGTAAAACAATTTCTAACTAAACACTCAAGTCGAAGTCACTCAATAATCCTTTTTACATTTAGCCCTTTCACAGTTAAATTCTGTTCTGCCCTTTGCCACTGTTATTTAGTGGGCCACTCTGACCACTGTGTCTGTATCCCACTGAGGAGGAGGAGGCTGGCTTCACAGGCACAGCTCTCCACCTCTGCAGATGCTGTACCCGAGCATTTTCCTGTGTGAGCCCTCACCACACGGGCCTCTCTCGGGTGTTTAAGCACATGTCTAACGGTCATCTGTCTGACCACATGACATCAGTGCTGGCCTTGACAGCTCACTTGTTCTTTTCTCGGGATTATCAGTAATTGCTGGTACTACTGCCTCTGGTTTGGCACTGTTTTATACAACGCTTACATGACAACTATTGATTATCTGACTTTGATTAAATACAACATTCAGTTGACAATTGACAACTGATAACTTTATCTATTTGCTTTTTTTAGGTGAGCTGTGACGGTCCATCCTGGTCTCTTGTGTGCAGGCTGGCCTGTCATAGACTGTGAAACCATGGCTTTAGGTCCAGCTCCTGCAGGCCTGCTCCAGCTCATCCTGGGCACTGTGTTGTTTCTTCTGGTGTGTGGGCTGTCATCTGTGCTGGGGGAGGAGGTCTACACCAACCAATGGGCTGTCCATGTACCTGGAGGTCCAGAGGAAGCTGATCGAATTGCATCAAAATATGGATTCATCAACCATGGTCATGTAAGTACAATTTAATTTTGCTATGATTAATTCATTTTGAAAATGAGAGATTTAGTTGAGGTCACCTGTGAGAAAAGTGTTTTGACTGTATGTAAATTACTTGAAGCCAGCAACAAAACTTTGCATGTGTTTTACTCCTCACGTATTTTATTTATTGGATGCATGCCATGTATTATTTCCCTATTTGAGTTCTATCATGTTTATAATGTCTGGAAAAAATAAAGAATTGGTATGGTACTAATAATGATAATCATCATGGCACTGTGCAGATCAGAAATATCTGCTCCTTTAAAAGAGTATACTTGCATAAGAAGAGCTGTGTTTAAACGTGTAGAAGCTGATGCATCTTCTGTAGAATAATGAATCTTGGTTTGATTCCAATGAGGACTGTTCAGTGAAACACAATTTAAGCAATTTAGTTCTTTCAGTCATTTCTAATTGTCAATCATCAGCTTGTTTATTTTTTTAATAGAGAGGTCTACAGCCAAACCTCTGCCAGTAAAACAGTTTAGACTTTAGAAATGTTACTATTTGTGTGTTCAAAGGCAATGATTCAAAGAGTGTTGATTTTAAATAATTTCAAGTGTAAGTTATGATGGATCAGTATGAGGAAACTAATGTGACCAGCCTGCGTTCCCAAGTTTTGCACATATTGTAGGTGTGGGCTTTGAATTACTGATAAATGTTTCCTGTCTTCACTGGGAATGCTTGTTTATGACATCCTGTTCCCGTGTAATCTTAATTGTCCATGTTATCCATAACATCGCTCCATAGACAGTCTCTTTAAAAAGTTCAAGCTCATTAGTTATCTTGTGAACACTGAGTCAGAGGTAACACGCAAACGCAGAAACAGAATTTTAGGTAAGCAGTTTTTTAAATAATTCCTATAATACAGCTTTCTGTTTCCCACAGACTATGGTGGCACGAGTGATGCATATTTGAATAATTTTATTTAATACAATGTTAGGGGTATATAAATGTCATTGTCTACTGAACAAAAACACTCTGATTATAGATAAATAATGGTTACTTCAATATGTGTATGATAACTTTACAAGCATAAAGTATAATTTCATTTACTAATTTTTTGCTTAGCTAGTTTTCAGACTACGGGGGTGAAATTTTGAAATTTTTTATTAATGGAAAACACTGCAACTGTTTTGTATATTTGCTCCATTATACTTAGATTGTGTGCCATTTAAACAGTGAGGTGCTTGTCCTGGCTTGAGCGTTATAATTTTATAACAATAGAAACAGTCTGACCTTTCTGTGCGGTGGGATAGTTGCCTTTTCCTTATCCAATTAAGAATGCATTTTGTCCAGTAAATGAACAACAAGTGTTTTGCTACTGCTCGGTGTAGATATCTTCAGCATTTTTCATAAAAATTGCTCCACTGGTGATGACTACTACTGGTAATGCTGTTTGTGCTGCAAATGTGGCTAACTAATGACCAATTCCCCTGACTGTAATCCTTTAACCATGTATTGGCTGTGGGCAGTGAGGAGACCAGACAAAGTGGTTACACCCTTTTGGTTCTTAATTTCACAATCTGGCCAAAGGGAGTGTGTGGTCGGGGCTGACTGAGTCTGAGTTGCTCCAGACTTGTTTTGCTTGAGGGGAGGCTGACTGACTATTGTTTGACCAATGCGATGAAATGAAGAAACTATCCAAGATGAAAGATCACAGACAGTTTTAATTAAGGTATCTCTTGAACTGCCTCAAGCTTTGAGTTGTCAAAAAGTAAAAACACATGTTTCATGTTTGACTAAAAGCCTGTCTCCTTCTTGGGCACTTTATACTCTGGCAGTCCAAAGGTGAAATAAAGATGTGAAGGTTAACTTGAAAGGTAAATTTGAAGGATCTGAAAAATAAATAAAATATTTATGTTAAATACTGGTGGTAAATGTTTATTTTATCTCAAGTTAACTGTTCTGGATTCACAAATGGGGCTAGTAAAACTTTTTTTATTGGTTATATGAACTGTTTAATTCCAGATGTTAATGGAAAACCATTACTGTGACACATTAGCCATCAACATAGACATACACGCTTTTACAACTATTCTCGATGGCTTTTCAGTATATTGTGTTACACTAATTGAAATGGTCTGTTGTTGGAGTAGCAGACACGGGGGAACTTTCAGTCATCCACACTGAATAGAGGCACTGGCCTGAGAAGAGTCAAGTAAATGACACAGAACAGTGGCATCTGTGCAGCCTTCAGCCTGTATTGATTCAGTCACTACTTTTTCAGCAATTACCTCATTCACATGAAAATACTGTACACTCTGTTACACTGCTTTGTATTTATAATCATACACATGTTAATCCCCACTGTGACAAAGTACTGGTAATTTTCAATATTTGTATTACTTCAAAAGCTATTATGACAACAGTATAATGTCCTAAAAGATGCAGTACATGACTGCTATTTACAAAAAAATGTTAAAAAGTAGTTGCTTTGAATTAAGTCACAGTTAAATCGTATAAAAATGCCTTGTAATCTATAGTCTTTTTTTTATGAACAAATTCCACCAAACTAAAATTATATTGTATTATCTTGACAGTTAAATTCTGAAATAAAGCTCCATCCCTTCACTCAGTTACAGTTAAAGCTGAAAGATGCATATAGTACATGATTACAATTTCTTTTGAAAAAGTGGAAAAAGTAATTGCTTTGAATAAAGTCAGTTAAATCCTATAAAATCTTGTGCCTTGTGATCCATAGACAATTTTTTTATGAACACATTGTACTAAAATGAAATTATATTGTATTATGTTGACAGTTAAATTCTGAAATAAAGCTCTGTCATCATGTTCCTCCCTTCACTCAGTTATAGTTAGAGCTCAAACCCATGTGCCCGTAACTGGAGACATTTCAGATGCTGTCTGCACTCTTCATTGTCACAGCGGTGCTCTGTCACAGCTTCACAAACGCTGTCAGACTCTAGTGTTGCACACGGGAAGGTTTGAGAAACTCCAGTGCAGCGGTTGCCAACAAAAGCAGATTACATGTTGTCAGTGTAGTCAGCTGACATTTTGGTTCTTGTTTGTTGATACCGTTGTTGGCTCGAGTGCCACTGGAGCCATGTTGCAGTTTGTAAATGTAGTAACAGCTAATACTCAATGATGCAGATCTCATTGGCTGTTTGTATTGAGTAACAAAGTATTGCACTTATGCAACACTGAAAAAAGTTGAGACAAAGCGGTATAAGACCACATTCAAGGCAATAATGAGCTGCTGCTTGACTTGGGTGAAACACTTGTCAAATGTTTGTTTCCCAATATTTATGTTGAGTGGTTAGAACTGATGTCAATTTAATAAGGACCTATAATTTCTTTTACCTTTTTTAAAACCTAACAAAACTACTGAAACATTTGACTGTGTTAAGGATGTAAAATTTACAGCTTATGAATATGAGCAGGACTCTCCAGTGATACTATGATTTTAGAAGTCTTTATGGACAAATACATGACAAATTTATGTTTATGGAAAATGAAGTGTTCTACCTTTTATATATCTTTACTCAGTTTATTCAGTTTAAAATACTTATAAGGTAATGAAGACTACATGGAAAACTATTACTAGTCTTACAAACCAGGGCTAGGTAAATGAAAAGGGAATTAATTTGACTGTGCTAAAGTGATGCAATTAAGAAACAGCTGATTCACGCAGCGGTAAATTGCCATTAACTGCAGACTTGCATCTTAGAGTGGTTATTTTACATTATAAAGGCCTTTTCTTGCACACGTCATCAATCTTGTGCCTCAAGCTTGTAAAAAGGAAGTTTAATTTTTACACAATTGCATTTTCAATTAAATGTACACATCATTTGGAAATTTTCTATTTTAGATTCTGAGTTATATCTCAAATGTTGGTTAAAGTGACAGATTTTTGTAATTTTTAGGTCACTTTCATGCAGAGTTTTGCCTTCCGGACTGCAACTGGAGGCATTTCCATCTAAAATGCGGATTATGAGAGCCTGTGGCTGACGATGAGACGGGAAGTGTCAGATTTGAAATTGCCTTTTGGAGAGAAGGACTTTGTAGCAGCTTAACAACTGCCTGTACTTTACTTCAGGGCTGAATAATTCACTCAAAGCTGACAGTAAATGTGATGGTGACATTTTGGTCTTTGATCTAAATGTCTAGAGCCATTAGAAACTTATTATGGTCTCTATCTGAGATATGTTCTTCTTTTAATTGGATGGCCATAAAGGTATGTTTGATCTTGTGAAACTGTTAGGGGAAGTCTTCGATTATTCATAACTTGGAGTGGGAGGAAAAGGGTGACGGATAAATAAGTTATTGCTCTCTTCAAAGTACAGTGGCATTTTCGTGACGTGTTTCTTTTCCTTATATGAGGTTTGTGTTGCTTGTGGTTTGTCGGTCTGTAACTGTCTCTTTCCCCCTTGGGCTTTGAATACAACATTTTGCTGTTAGACATAGTGTCCTCATACATCCTCCTTGACTCCATGCGGTTTGTTTAATTGGCGTGTTAATATCCTCTTCCTCTTTAAAATAAATTAATATTCTGTTTGGGGTAAGATTAGAAGAAGAGTAGCCTGTTATCTCTAGCTCTAACCAAGTACATGAAATGACACTTTGCTATCAGCAGCCGTGACACAGCACTGTACCCTAAGGCTTCACAGACCACTGCTGTTCTCAGGCTTTTTACCAAAAGATAATTCACTATCCTAAGGTGCTGCTCAGATTTTATTTAATCATCACAAAGTTAAAAAAAAAAAAATCTTTGTGATGATTAAATAAAATTGTCACTAAATCGTCTTTTATTTTTACAGTTGATTTATTATATTTATTTGTTTTTTGAATAATTGTTAATGAATGAATTTTGTCATTTCTTGTAATTTAACTTCTGTGGCATTGCTTCTGATAGCTTGTCGTTTTGTTTTTGTGCATATGGCAACTATCTTTTTACCTTTTACACCTGCAGAAATCATTTTCCGTTTTGCACCAGGCTCAATTTAAAAGCTGAGCTA